ACTGTCCAGCCTCTCCCCCAGCTCCTCTCTGTCCCTCCCATCTGGCTGTCAGGGGCACAATTATTTCTTCGTGGGGCCAGTACGTGGTGCGGAGGATAAAGTGGTTGGATGCCACACGGCTGACTGAGCAGTTTGAGTTCTGGATCTGGCAGCTTGAAAAACATGCCAGGTGGGCATGTGAGTATGTGTGCCCAAAATTCCAAGAGGAGAATGGAGGAGAAGGGATGGTAGTATGGTCATTTCCCTGGGAAGTGATGGTCCTTTCCCCTGGGGAGTAATTTCTTACTTTCCCTCCCTCTCTCTCTCCTCTCTCTCTCAGGTGAGCACGCATACCCTATATTCAAACTAAAAAAAAAAAAAAAAATTCCTCTTGGCTCTCTCAGAGCAGCAAAAGTTGTTTCATCCATAAGAGGGATTTTTGTCTTACCTGTTAGGAGAGTAATAGCATTCTCTGTTTTATTGTAATGCTTGTTCCAGATCCTATAGCAGAGGCTGCAGATTATCATAGGAGACCCAGGAGGCTTCAGCTTCATTTTACAAATGAAAACACTGGGTTCAGAGAAGTTAGGACCATTGCTAATAGGTCTCCTGTGAGGAGAGGCTCAAGATCCCTTTCTGCATTTGCCTCTGTATCTTCCTGGCAGGAATTAGAGGGTATCTGAATAGAGGCCAGGCTCACTGGGGAGGTCCAGGTCATGGGAAAAGTCATCCCCCATGAGGGATGACTCCTTAATCAGACAACCCCAACCTTTCCCACACTCATACGTGCCTCAGGCTTATGTAGAATAGAGTTTTTTTCTGTTTGAAATGTATCTTCCAGTTCTGGTGCCAGATCTGCCAATTGCACTTGTAGTGTGACTCTGGGCAAGTCACTCTTCTCTTTTGGGCTTCTTTTATATTTATAATGAGGGAATATTCCTTCCTGACCTATATATATGTATATATATATATATTTTTTTTTTTGAGAGGTTTTTGCTATGGGGCATGTGCACTCTCCAGAAAGACAGAGAGAGAAAGCAAGAAATCGCCCCCCAGGGGGCATGGTCACACTGCAATCTCTTCTCCATTCTCCTCTTGGGATCTTGGGCACGCATCCACATGTGCCTGGTGTGAGTTTAAGCCACCGGGTCCGGGACTCGAACCGTGGTCAACTACATGGGAGTCTAGCAACATAGCCATTATGCTAACTGCTGGTCCCCCTGACCTATATTTTATGGTCTTAAAGAAAGGTCAGATCCTGAGACCAGCAGATGGCATTATGAGTATGCTGCTAGACTCCCATGTAGTCGACTGTGGTTTGAGTCCTGGACCCAGCAGTTTTAAACTCATGCTGGATATGTGTGTGTGTACCCAAAATCCTGAGAGGAGAGTGGAGGAGAAAGGATTTTGACATGACCGCCCACCCTGTGGGGTGATTTCTTACTTTCTGTCCCTCTGGTGAGTGCACATGCCCTATAGCAAAAATCTCTCTCTAAAACAACTAACTAGCTAACTAAATTAATAAAAGTCAGATCTTGGCATAAAAAGTCCTATCACTTGCTATCTTCTAAGCACTCTCTCACACCACCCCTTGATGCTCTGAGCATTGCAAATAGGTACTATTACTGACCTAGCTTACATATGGGGAAACCACAGTTAGAAGGAGTTAGTAGCTACCCAAGGCCTCATAGTAACTGACAGAGTTGGAATTTGAACATAGATTTGTCTGTCTGACTTGGAGCTGATGTTTTAAAACAATTTCATTGGGGCCAGTAGGTGGTGTGGTGGTTGGGGTGCTGGACTCCCACATAGTTGATTATGGTTTTAATAATAATAATAATAATAATAAATAAAATTAAAAATAATTCTTAAAAACAAAATAATTTCATCAAATGTGTCCTTTTCTTTCTTTTTTTTTTTTTTTTGGAGAGATTTTCACTGTAGGGCGCGTGCGCTCGCCAGACAGACAGAGAGACATAGAGACAGAAAGCGAGAAATCACCCCCCAGGGGGGATGGTCACGCCGCAATCCCTTCTCCTCCATTCTCCTCTCAGGATCTTGGGCACGCACGCACACGTGCCTGGCGTGAGTTTTAAGCCACCGGGTCCAGGACACGAACCGCGGTCGACTATGGGGGAATCTAGTGACATAGCCATTACGCTAACTGCTGGTTCCCATCAAATGTGTCCTTTAAGTGCGAGTTCAGACTGCTGCTGACTCTCAGGGGTTGCTCATACATGTGCATTCACATGTGTACTCACATGGGAAAGAGGGATGCTCGCTCAGGTTGGACCATAACAGAAGGCCAAATGACATTTCTAAAGCTAGCTAGCCTCAGGACATTTCATCTGGCCATCTGGTCCAAATCCTCATTGATGAGATGACTACATAGAGATGGGATAGAAGACCAATCTTCTGTGACTCCCAGTAAAATGCTCATTATGATACCTAGTCTTGCTTCCTCGTTTTCTTCCTTTTTTGCCCCAACTGGTTCCCTTTCACTGTGTGTGGACTTTACCCTCTTGGAGCACCCCTTTCTCTGACACGAGAGTGAAAAACTTCCGCTTTTATAACCTTTATTTTCTACTCCCTCCCAACTGGCCACCTACGTTCCTTGAGGCTGAGAGTTATGTGAGCTGTTTGGAAGTGGCTTATGTGGGTGAGGTCTTTGCTTTAGGATGACCAGGGCTGGAAAACCCCTGTTATCAGAATGAGTTGCCTTCTGTGTGTGTGTGTGTGTACATACAGTCAGACATTTATCCACCTGTCTTGGAAAGACTAGGAATGGCCCTCTTTAAAAACAATTGGAAACACCTGAAAAAAGTCTTTCTGGTTCTGAACCATTATGAGTTTCTGGCCAGCTTTATGTTGTGCACTAGGTAGGGATTTGACTCTGTACATGTAGACTCTGAATTATTTAGCTTTTCAGAGCAACATCTCAGCCATATTCTCCTCTGATGGACAGTAAAAAGCAAAATAAAACCCAACAAAAAACAATGGTATTTTTGTTCCAGCTTGTCAGAATCCTGGCCCTCTGCTTTCTGTTTTCAGCCCCTTTCTGTCCCTCAGGGCTTTTACTCCGGTTCCCTGACTTTGTCTCCACTGCTGGCTAAGGACTCTGAAATGTTCTGCTGCCTCAGCTGTACATTCTGATGTTGATCTTGCTCCTGTGCAAGTTCAGGCCTTGGTATCACCAAACCCCGACATTCCAGGTCCACCCTGGTTCCTGCAGGCCAACGTCCTGCCTGACCACATTGCATTTGGTAGTGATTCTGTCATCTGCAGACTGTGAGCTCCTGGAGGGAGAAGTCTGATTAGGTGTAAGTTCTGAGCTTTGACAACAAGGAGGGAGGAAAGAAATTGCTGAATCAAGAAGTAGGATCTCACAGGCCACAGAGGGATTAAATCAGGTAGCACTGGCCTCTGGAGAGGGGGCAGGGGTGGCAAGTGGTGGGGTAGAGTCTCCCACCCTCCCTTACCTCTGAGCCTCTGCCTGGGCAATGTGGGGATGGATGAGTCATTGAACAAGTTAAGGTCTTTTGGGTATAAGTAACAGAAACCAAGACCTGCTAACTCTGCCTAGCACAGAGAAAAGGGGGATACCCATGTGTCCAGACAGCTGTACAGGCAAAATGTGGGAGACACAGTCAACAGAATATTCAACCTTAAAAGGGAATGAAGTCCTGACACCTGCTACATCATGAATGAAACCTGAAGATACCGTGTTAAGTGAAATAAGCCACTCACAAAATATAAACATTGTATGATTCCATTAATATGAAGTACTTAGAGTATTCATAATGACAAAAAATAGAATGATGGTTACTAGGGGCTAGAAGAGGAGAATGGTTAGTGTTTGATGAGTATAGTTTTGGGGATGATGAACTTTTGGAAATTGGTAGTGGTGATGGTTACACAACAATCTGAATGTATGGAATTGTACATTTAAAAATAGTTAAAATGATATGGTGTAATAGTATGCATATTTTAACACACATACACACATACACACATCGGAGCTGACCTAAACCTACAAAGTTATTTTAGAAGTGCTAAATGCCACCTTAGCCCTTCATGAATTTTTTTTTTTTTTCCTTAAGGACAGATAATTGGAAGATTGTCAGAACATTTCTTGGAACTGAAAGGCTAGCTGAACCCCCAAACTGAAGAGGGGGCTGGCAGCAAGGCAGCTCCAAAGATTTCCAGACAGGAGTTCATGGACCTCTTGGGAGACGGTCTGAAACTCGCTTCTTCACCGGCAGCAACCAATCTGTTTCTCAGGTCCAGATTTGAAATTTCTCTGAGAGAGAGACTGACTGGCCAGCTGGGTCAGGTGGCCTTGGTAGATTAGTTTAGACTGGGCTTGGGAAGAGGCTCATGAGATATTGTCATGGCCAACGAGAGGCAGTTATGGTTCAGTTTACCAGAATCCAACCTATGGACTCGCCTGTTTTCAGACTGATCACTTTACCACATTATTTGTTTCTTTAAACTACTTGGTTGTAGTTGCCTCATTTTGTTTTGCCTTTACAATACCATTTTTTTTTTTTTGGAGAGGTTTTTGCTATAGGATGCCAGAAAGACAGAGAGAGACAGAGAGACAGAAAGTGAGAAATCACCCCTTGGGGGGAGATGGCCATGCCACAATCCCTTCTCCTCCATTCTCCTCTCGTGATCTTGGGCACGCATACACACGTGCCCGGTGTGAGTTTAAGCCGTCGGGTCTGGGACTCAAACTGTGGTCGACTTCATGGGAGTCCAGTGACATAGCCACTATGCTAAGTGCTGGTCTCTACAACAGCATTTTGAGAGAATGTTGAATTTTGTCTGAACAGCTTCCTGTTGTTGAGCTGGACACAGAAGACTAGATAAGGGAAGACAGAGTGTCTATGTCTGGCCTTTGTGCTTTATAAACTCTCCAACCCCCAATATAGACAAAATTATCAAGGAAATGTAGAAAAGTCCCTCAAAAATTGAGATTAAATTTCATCCTAGCAGAAAAAAAGTCAAGAAATTAAGAATCAAGTTGACAATTAGGAGGTTAATTTATTGCAAGCTTGAGCTTTAGACTACGAGCTTACTCTCAACATAATCTAATTCCCCTTCCCTGCCCTGCAAAACTTAGCATAGGAGCTAGAGATTTGTGCTTTTTTTCAGGCACTCTGTATCCTTACCACCTTGAGGAAGACCTAATATGGGGGATCCAGCAGAGCTCCTGCAACAGGGACAAAAATAATTGACACAGGAATAGTCTTACCCTGCCATGCTAAGAAAAAGTAATGTTTTAAAAGAAAAGAATAATGGAAGAAAAATAGATCCAGAAAAGTATAAGGATGGGCAGGAAAAGTCAAGCATTCTGCAGGGCTTTTAATAGGTCAAGACTCAGAGTTCAAAGATGATCTGGCTTGTTGAAATTGGAATGATAATTTAGAATGACTGGCATATTGGTATGAAGTGAGGAACTGCAAGCAGAGCAAAGAGAAGGATGTAGAAGAGGTTTTTCTGTGTATTAAGACTGTATCTCTACCATCTCCCTTAATTTGGCATGATTGAGAAAATATTTGAAATACTTTTCCTTTATTTTGATCATTGGCTTTTTCTTTGAATGTGGCTGTGCTGGTTCAGCCCTTGAGACTGCTTGCTTAAATTTTAGTAAGTTTACTTCTTCTTTCCTCAAACCTGGGCTTCCATTGAGGCCTGATCATCATGGAGAGTTGAGGAGCTATGGTTGACCTTTCCTTGATCTAATACTTTTAGCCTGGGCCAATTTCTTGGGTGGCAGCAAAGGTAGGTTGGGATCCTTGATATACTCTTGGACCCAGTTGTTGTTGGGGTTGGTGCACACTTCCCGGTTCTTTTTGGTGACGAAGCTGTGGAGGCAGAGTTAGACTGTCATGGGCTGTCATGGGCCCAGTCCATACCCCCCCTCCATTTGCCATGCCCTCTTCCACTTCTATCTCATATGGGGTTTCCTTATGTTCTTTGTGGCCTCCCTAAGATTCTCCTCTCTGGGTCCCCTCAGAGAGCTTCCATCTCTGGCCTCCAGAGCTCATCCTTTTTTTCTGTCCTTACCCCACTCATCCTACACACTCAGTTGATAACTCACTTGGGTTATAAAACCCAAGTCACCATTTATTGGACCACACAGCTGTAAGTGGAAAAAGTAGGAATTAAGCCCAGTCTCTTGAGATTTAAAGCCCAAACCCTTAGCCAATACTCTTCTGCTTGAAGCATGGACATTTTGTCTTAGACATCCCTGCCCCTAAGTTCCATTTCTCTCTCCATACAAATATGTGCAGGGGTAGTACTCACATGATTGCTGGCCAGTGACAGGAGAGGGCCTTTCTGTATCCCACCACCAGTTTCCTTGGCAATACTTTCTCTTGATACTTCACACAGCAGTAAGATGACAAGTTCACTGACTCAGGAATTCCTGAAGCAATCACATGGCAAGTTGAACCAGGGAGACAGAGAGGGAGAGCATGGCTGCCCACCTCCATTTCCCTCTATTGTGTTTCACTCTTTTGATAGCAAAGCCATCTGTTAGTAGAAGCTGATGATAGCTTGATGGGCAATAGGGAAAAGTGGTAAAGATAAACCCCTCTGGTAGAACCTTCAGCCTCTGACTTGAGTGTCACTAAATACAAATGACTCAGCTATTTACATTTGCTTACTCTTTTGTTTACTTGTGATTTGATTTGGCAAACATGTATGGGGGGGTCTTTAATAAGTTCATAGGCAATGTATATTATGAAAACACTATGCATGTATTGAAAAAACCACACCTAAATAAACTTGTACTTTAATTTAATTTTCCATGAACTTTTTGAAGTCTCCTTGTCTAGAGCTCATGTTGCATGCCAGGCTCTATGGGGGGTGGGGTGGGAATCCTGGCCCTGGTGGCTTGAAAAATATGCCAGGTGCATGTGTGGGTGCTCCAAATCTTGAAAGGATGAAGAAATGGAGGGACTGTGGCACGATCCACAACCTGTTCTCTCTCTCTTTCTCTGGGGAGCATACCTCCTCTCTGGCAATTAAAAAAAAAATGGAAAGTGAAAATTTAAACAAGCATTACAATAGAATATGGTCCAGTATAGAATGTTGGCACAAGGTACCCAGGGAACAATATCACCAACCCAGCCTTAGTGATTGAGGAAGTCCCAAAGCAGGTGGTGCCTGGGTTGATTCTTAAAGGATAAGGAGGCCATAGACTGACAAAGAGTTGTAAGATCTGGAAGAAAGAAATGTGGGGAGCCTGAAGGTGGGGCAAGTGTGTTTAGGGAGTGCTGAGCAGCTTGGGGTGGCTGGAATGCAAGGTGAGAAGGAAGGAGTGGGAAGAGATGAAAGGAAAGTGGAGGGCTGGACCACATACCTACTGTGCTCTACCCTGGGGATCTGTACTGGACCCTAAAAGCATTAGAGAGGCAGAGGTCAGGGAGGACAATAAAAGGGTGGAGCCATGAATAAGAGGTGATAGAGTAGGAGGAGAAATTGTACAATTTAGGCTTTGGGGTCAGACATTTTTGGGTGGAATATTGACTAAATGATTTGAATCAAGGAAAAATTTTTTTCTTTTCTTTTTTTGGAGATTTTTGCTATAGGACACGTGTACTCTCTGGAGACACAGAGAGCGACAGAGAGAAAGTGACAAATCACCCCCCAGGGTGATGGCCATGCCACAATCCCTTCTCCTCCATTTTCCTCTCCAGGTTTTGGGCACGCACATGCATGCACCCCATGTGAGTTTCAAGCTCCTGGGTCCAGGACTCGAATTGTGGTTGACCATGTGGGAGTCCAACACCTTAACCACTATGCCAACTGCTGGACCTAAGGATAAAATTCATAATTGCTCTAGGTTTCAATTTCTTCATCCATTGAATGAGGGTAAAAAGATACTTATGTCCTAGGATCATGGTGAGGATTTGTTGAGATAATGCTTGTAACCCTAACCCTTAAACTCAAAGCATGGTACACAGAAAAATGCTCAATCAGTGCTTATTGTAATTAAGAACACATAGTAAGAATGATTACTCTTGCCCCTGAGATGATTCTTTTTTTCGTTCTCTGATATTTGCAGGATGCTGAACTTGATTGGTTGTTATTGCTGTGTTTTCTTTGAGCTCCCATGACAACTCATCAGTTGGAGACACTACATAGAAGGTCAGGTCAGAGACCTCTATCATCTCCCATACCTGTAGAGTGTGCAAATCCCCTTGTGGCCAATCCTTGCTTCCCGCTAGTGGCAAAGCTTGAGGCATCTTGATGGCAATGTCTGGCTAATTCATGCTTGATTGACCTTCCTGAAGGGCACTGTTGCCCATCTTACCCACCAGATGCACACAGTCCTTCCCTAAGTAAGTCACTCTGTGACATGTGTCTCCACGGTTTATGAAGACCAGGGACATTCTGAGAATATGTGGGTGGATTGCGTGGTGCACCTGACCCTTGCTCCCCAGAGTGTTTATGTACGCAGAAACAGGCCAGACTATGCACTCATGCTAGCCCTAAGGGATAAAAGCAGGGCTGGGGTAGCCCTAAGGTGGGTAAGTGTAAGATCTGAGCATCTTTATCCTTCCCCTGTCACCAGGACTTCATAAATGAAGGCAGAGGCAAGAAATAGGGAGTGGACAAAACAAGCCCTGTTCTCCATAGGTCTCAAATTTTCTTCTCTCTGCAGCCCCTAAACCTTTCAACCCCTTTCCTCTTTTCTGCAGACTTTCTTTTCTCCTGGTCTGGGCATGGGGGAGGGGGTCACAGATCCCAAACAGCACATTTAATCATTCCACTGGAACTCATTTCAATTGTCTTGTAGTGCCACTGCAAGGCAGGGATGTCTAAGTTCAGACTCAGTCTCAAGTGATTGCTTCAACTTTCCTCTCCCGTCATTCACTCAGAGTGTCAGCTGTCTTTCTCATCCACTGCCTCAGCCTCCCCTTTGTGACATACATTTCAATAGTATTTTTTGCTACTTCTCTGCCTCCTCCTTAGAACTGATCATCCCTGATCTCCATTCTTGGGACTCCTGAAGAGCCTTAACTTGGCTTTTTGGAACTGTCCAGTTCTAGAAGGATCTGGACCAGGCCCATCTCTACTTACAAAGGGGAAAACCTAAGGAAAGCAGCTGTGTGTGAAGGTGGAGAGAGGCCTCCAGGGCTGATGAGACCAGAGACTAGATGGGCTTCACTCTTAGTGTCACCTTTGCCAGCTGCCCTGTTTCCCGTTCTCATTTCTGCTTTACAGGGATAAGTGGACTCACTTGACTGGCCGTACAAAGCAGGAGTAGTAGCGAGGATGATGATAAGAAGAAAAAGAGTAGCCACGGAGACCTTCATCTTCTCAGTGGGGTAGTGCAGCTTCAGGAGAGTGAGATGGAAATGTTTTCTTGTTGCTAGTAGTCTGCTGTCTGACTGCTCAACTCTCTGGACTCTGACCACTTTGGAACCAGTGGAGGAGGAGAAACAATTTAGTGTTTGCTGAAAGGGAGGGTGGTGGAGGTTGGGGCCTGGTGCAGAGGTGAGTTCAATAAGATTTGAATTCATGTAAAGGAACGAATTGGAGGAAGAATGTGCAGAGACTGTGCTCTGGGTCAGCCCTGTTGTGTGCCCTCTTTTACTCAATCTTTGCAAAAATGAAGTGCTGATTATTATTTCACTTAGGCCACCAAGGCTTAGAGAGGTAAAACAAATTGTCCAAGGTCACACGGGCAGGAGGTGGATTGGCAGTACTAAGAATCAGATCTGTTTGATTTCGCTGTGTCACTAGCCACCATCTTTACATTGTGGAAGGAGGAGGGAGTGTTATACTGCCTGTTTCCCTGATGATAGATCTTTTGGAGGGGGTGAACAGAAAGCAGAATTAGAGAGAGCAAGACCAAGGCAGGGTATGTTTGGTGGCCTTTGTGAAGGATGTCCAAGAATGTGTTATTAATAAAAAGTTTTTTTTAAAAAAAGGATACACTATTGAAGTCAGTCTTATGTCACAGAATATACTACTAAGACTCCAAAATACCAATGTACTTGATCTTTGGGTTCCTGTTCATTGCCACAGTGTTTGGCTTATTTGTCGATATTCTTCTTCCTTTGGACCTTGTACTATGTACCAATTTCCCCCCCATTAAACCAAGAATTTTTTGCTCTTTTTTTTGGAGAGGTTTTTGCTATAGGGCGTGTGTGCTTGCCAGAAAGACAGAGAGAGACAGAGAGACAGAAAGCAAGAAATCACCCCCTGGGGGGATGGCCACGCTGCAATCCCATCTTCTCCTTTCTCTTCTCAGGATCTTGGGCACGCACGCACACATGCCCAACTTGAGTCTAAGCCACCGGGTCTGGGACTTGAACTGTGGTCGACTAAATGGGAGTCCAGCGACATAGCCATTACACTAATTGCTGGTCCCTAAACCAAGAATTTTTATATGGACCAATTTCTAGTCATAGTCCCCTGATCCCTCATGGGTGTGCTCAGTACAGGTTCAGCCAACCTTGGTGTCATGGCCAATCATGACCAGCAAAGGGCATTGCTGGGCCTGACAAGTTGCTTCTGTGGTCCAGAGTGTCAACTTCTGACCCTCTTACCTGGGCTCTGGCTGAATCTGATCCACAGCATTCTCTGTCTTTAAATTACCTCAGGACCTGGTTCTAGGTTGAAGGGAGCATTCAGAGAAGAGAGTGAAGATATGGAGGATTTTGCTGTTGATGGACTATAAGCTTCAAAGGCACTAGGGAGTGTTTCAGTAGTTTAGCATAGTGAGAGACTTAGTAGGGAATGTACACATTCTTATGGGGTATGCTGCTTGCCATAATTGCTCAGGAATAGCTAAAGTAAGTAATCCGGTTGATTTTGGTGGGTTTGTAGCAGTTAGTATGGTGAAACTGTGGCTTTTTTAAAAAAAGGAATTACTTTATTTAACTTTACTTATTTGTTTATTTATTTTATTTTAATTTGACCAGAGAGGGGCAGAGTAAGGGGTGGGGGCGGGGAGTGAGAAAGCAAGTTGCCAGGTCCAGGACTTGAGTCGTGGTTGGCCATGTGGGAGTCCAGTGCCCTTAAATACCACATCACCTGCCGGCCTCGAAGCTGTGTTTTTTTGTGAGGGTAGAGAGGGTACATACACAGGTACCCCCTTGATCTCTGTTTATGGAGATGAGGAGGTCTGAAGAAGCCTGGACATATCTTTAGCATGTAGTCCCTTTCTTGGCCCTTGCCTTGGCCTGTGAGTCCTTGTCTGGAAGGCTGGAGGCCAGGGAAAGGTGGTCATCGTCCATACTGGGCAATGCTCTTACTCCAAGTACACAGAACTCCTCCCCCTTGAACCCTGAAGACAGGTTTGAGAAATAGTCTTCCTCTTGATTCCTATCTCATCCCATCTATCCCTTTATTTGTGTGTCTATTTATCCATCCATCCATCCATCTATCCTTCCTTCCTTCACTCCCTTCATTCATCCTTCCCACTCTTATCCATTTATCCATTCATCTGTCCATCCATCTCTTCATTCCTCTGTCCCTCCCTCCATCCATCTATCTATTCCCTAGGTTCCAGGCTTTTCCTAGGCCTTGAGGGGATACAGAAGTGAGCCAAACAATATTGTACAACCTGGTGTATCTAAGTGGAAAGGGAAGGGTTGGGTAAGAGGAGTCTATGAATCATTTTTATGCCACACAGCAGTGAAGAAAGGTCTTGGGAGCAGCATAAAAAAAAAAAAAAAAAAAAAGGCTATGGAGTCTGACTGCTATGGAGAGGTCTTTCTGAAGATCTACCTGCAAAATCAGGTGGTGATTTTAGCTTTTACATTTATTGTGTAGCTTAAATAAGATACTATGTACAGACGGCTTAGCAGAGTGATTGGAATGTAGATAGCACTAAGGAAATGGTGTTTCTTATGAGTGTTGTGGAGGGGTTGGCCTTTACACTGAGTTTCTTTCTCACTTTCTGCTTAACTTCCCACTGCCTCCATTACAGGCCTGCCTTATTTTTTCTTTTCTTTTCTTTTCTTTCCTTTCCTTTCCTTTCCTTTCCTTTCCTTTCCTTTCCTTTCCCTTCCCTTCCCTTCCCTTCCTTTTCTTTTCTTTTCTTTTCTTTTCTTTTCTTTTCTTTTCTTTTCTTTTCTTTTCTTTTCTTTTCTTTTCTTTTCTTTTCTTTTCTTTTCTTTTCTTTTCTTTTTGTACTGGGCAAAATTCTGCTAAAACTTCTGCAGAGTAAGGCTTGTTGCTGGGGATGCCACACCCAGGTGGGGCTCTCTGGTGTCCAATGAATAAATTCAGCAGAAATTAATGAGGCCAGGGAAAGGCATATGTGGTCTTTAATTCAAGGTAGGACAACTCCTGGGGGTGACTGGGGTGAGAGTTGGGGATGAAGGAGGCTCTGGTTTCTTCTCATTAGGTCTCTGAGTTGTGTCTTCTCCACCACTTCCAGGTCACTCAGTTCTCCTCTAGATCCTTGATATAGTCCTGGACCCAGTCGTCCTTGGGGTTGGCACAGATGGAATAGCCCTTTTTGGTAATGAACCTGTGGAGCAAGAGAAGGATTACAAACTGAGGGTTCCAGTAGCCAGATTTTCTACCAACCTGGACTGTTCATCTTGTGTTAGAGGCAGCTCAGGGTCAATCTCCTCTCTGAATAGGCTCTTCATCTCCTAGGACCCCCAGACCTATCTCATCTGTGTACTCCAGGACTACACTCCTTTTGCTTTCTCCTCCCTTCTCGTGATGTCTCCTTATCCATGGGGCCAGCTTTCACATGGCTCCCTGCAAGCCCAGCAATAAGTCCCCAGGTTGCCCTTCACAGGCAGTCTATCACTGTGTAGATACACCTGGGAGGTACCCTTGGGGGTCCCCATCCCATCCCTTCTAGGTCCTTCTGGCTCCCTCTCAACCAGTGTGGTGTGTGGGTGTCACTTACACAATTCCGGGCTTGGAGCATTCGCTGCTGGTCTCATAATAATGTGCAATCCGATGACGCTGGACCGGGCGGGTAACATAGGTGAAGCAGCACTCAGCTGGGTGGTAAGGTCCTTCTGAGGAGAGCATGGGTATGTGAGGAATGGGGGCTTGCTAAAGGTGATACTCCTGGATGCTTCATCCACCAAGGAGGTGGATGAAGGAAGGGAAGAAGGGACAGCTTGGCAGAACTTGGGGAGAGGGATCTGATTTTCTCCTCTTTCATCAGCAATCACCCTCCTTCCTTTTCTTCAGCCCCTCCTGGAAAAATGGCTGCAGAATTCCAGCTCTGGAGATTGAAATGCAGCAAACCTGAATCTTCTCAGGAGATACACCCCAGTCCTGGGAGGCTGCCTCACAGAGAAGTCTATGACTTGCCAAGGTCATACAACCTGCCCTCATTATTCTGGAAAGATGATCCAAATAGGAGAATGATTTGGAAGAGATTTTGTAAGGACTTAGAGATGTGGCATTTGGAAAAGCAGACCCAACCACTCCTAGTCTCCCCTCCTGTCTGTGTCCCTATTGAACCCATGCCCTGCATAGAGGGAAGGACGCCAACACCAAACCTCAAGAACAATGGCCACGGAATCAGAACACCCAGATTCTAACCTAACCTTGCCTTTGCTTTCTTTGTACTGTGACCATTTTACCTTCCTTCTCAGTGTCCTTCTCTGGAAATGAGGCCTTTGGATGGGGTTGGTGGTTTTTGTGCTGAGCTCCCTGGGGCTTTGAGGACTTCTTGAAAGTCCTGCTGTGTTAGAGAGTCAGAGACTACACCCACTGAAACTTTTTCCTGTTTTGCTTATTGGGCCTTTGTGAAAAATTTTGCTATAGGAAAAGTTTCATGGCTAGTAAGTTTTAAAATCATTGCATTAGGTGAATTTTCAGTTATTTTCTGGTTGTGAAATTTCATGGCTCTCATAGAAGGTACTAGGGAAGGACAGAGAATTTCCTCAAGCTTGAATTACGGAGGTAGCGGGAAGGGCACTGCAAGCTAAGGGCTGTGTACAAACCAGTCCATGCTGTGGTTATAGAATAAAGTCAGGTACATGCATGTTATGTGACCAACCTGACCAGACATACAGTTGTGCATTGTGATGGCCTCAGAGCTACCTGAGGGTGGTTAGGTGCAAAAGCCCAGTCCTGTTGTCTGGTACCATTCCAGGCAGCATCTCCACTACCCAAAGACTGGAAGATGGAGGTTCCTGGTCCCCAAGATTTCTCCCTGAGAGCCCTGGCACTTTGTCTGAGCCTACAAATGGCTTTTCAGAGGACAAGTCAAATTGTCCAGATTCCTAGTAAATTTAGACTGGCTTTATTTCAACAACCTTATGTTTCCACCCAGTTTCTGAAAAAAAAAAGAGGAAAAATAGAAGAGCAAGGAATAGTTTTGGTTATCTGTAAAGGCAGCTCATCCTAAGAAAGAAGTCTAAGATGCCTAGGTGGGACCCCACCCTGTCGTATCTCCCCCCAGCCCAACAGTGTAGTCACAGTGCAGCTGACACCTGAAGAAGTCTGGGTCCAAAACTCAGGAGGCCAATAAACTCATTAGCCTGAGGGACTCCAAACAACATTACTAAATCTCCCTGTGAATAATGTTCCCCCCAATGGGTGACCCACGATTGCTAATGGCAAAGAGTGAGGAATGGAGGGAGCAGAGAGGCAGGCTGGCTTCACTGCATGGTCTTGAAGGGAAGGGGGACTAGTCCTGGGGAAGGTGAGGATGAGATCAGTTTAAGAAGGTATCAGGCTTCCTTCTAGATCCCCTCTTCTTGGTATCCCAGAACTTTACTCTGCTGCTTTTCCTGTAGGGACTAGGTTGAAAGGAAGACAAGGTGTTATACTCACGCGAGGAGGAGTTGGCTTTGGCCTCTGGGGCCATGACGGCGAGGAGGAGGAGGAGGAGGAGGGAGATGGCAGTCACGGAGACCTTCATGCTGCGGGAGCTGCTGTGAGAGGTGAGTGGGCCTGGTGGGGGCTTCTGAGGCTCTTGGGGTGAGAAAGTGTTGAGAAATGATCATTGAGGTCAAGTATTTTTTAAATAAGGGAACCGAGATTTTGAAGGGAACCGAGATTTTGAAGGGAAGTAGAAGAGCAATGGATGCCTCAGCAATTTCATATTCTGCACATTTGTTGGAGGTGGCAGGAGGAAGCACAGAGAGCTAAGACTGAAGGGAGGACTTTGCTTCCATCCCCAGAGGAAGTGAGTTTAGCTCCTTTGACATAAGTCCTTTCTTAGGTGCAGACTGTGAGCACTCAGTGGACTGTCTCAGACTTAGCTGGAGATCTCAAGGGCAGGATGTGTCCTGTGCCTGATTCCAGGTCCATCCTTAGAGTAAGGCTATGTGAGGCATGGAGATGCAGGATATGTTTGTCTGGAGACCAGAGAGTATTTGAGGTAGTGAGTGAAGTCTGGAGTCTTCCCAAGACAGGTCTCATCCACCAGGATTAGGAAATCCTCAAACGCTTAAGCAAACTCCATCGTTCCCAGCCTCATCCCTACCCGCCTTATCATTCCTTGGGGTGAAGAAGTTCTCTGATGCCCAATAGATCATTTATGATGTAATGGTTGCAATGTAAATTAGTCACTGTCACAAATGCTTTATGAATATTAGCCTTGTAAGCTTTACAACAGCAGCTGAGGATACTGAGGTTCAGACACAAAGCACAAGCTTTGACGGTTGATAAGTGAAACTGGAATTCGAACTCTGACAATCTGGCTCCCAAGTCTTAACTAGTGTTCTAGTTAGAACATGGTATTCTGAACTACTATGCTATAAAGGAACATGGGAGCCCCAACAAAGCTCTCTCAAACTGTGCTGGCTGGCTTGGGTTATCTGCAAAGTTTTTAGTGTTAGTCCTTTCTGATCAGCTAGTGAGTTCCTTTAGGATCTTCTCCTAGTTTTTGACTTTTGCTACAGAGAAGCTTGGTAGGAACCTAAGAAAATACATAGTTCAGGGATGGTTAGTGGGTTTTATTGATTAGCGGTGGACTGGAGTTGTGTGTTGAAGACTATTCTGAGGGCATGTGCGAGAACATCAGGAAGAAGCGCCATAACTGCTGTGCAGTTTGGGTTAGGTGTGGCTCGTATGCTGTGGATTTGTCATCATTAGTCTATTTTCTTCTCTTTAAATATGTATTGTAACTTATGATTTATACATAATCATTACACATCTTTGTAGGGTACGGAATGGTCTTTATTTTATTTTATTTTATTTTTTTTTGGATTGTGAAAAAGCTCCCAATTCTTTATTTTATATGCTTTTTATCAGTCATGGATAGAAACCAAAAGCAACAACCGCTTTCTCCACTGCCTCTGAGAACAAATTCTCCCTATTTTATTTTTTTTTATGTTGTGAACATTCAAAACCTGCTGCAGTAGTTATTCTGCATTTATGTACTGGATTGCCTATGGCAATCTTTACTCAGCTCTTCTATCTCTGGGATTGCAGGGTCTCCCTGTTGCTCCTTCTTTCTCTGGAGATTAGTCTTTTTAATTTTTTTTTAGAGAGATTTTTGCCATAGGGCACATTTGCTGGAGAGACAGAGGGAGACAGAGAGACAGAAAGTGAGAAATTCCCCCCAGGGAGGATGGCCATGCCATAATCCCTTCTCCACCATTCTCCTCTCAGTATCTTGGGCATGCATGCACATGTGCCTGGTATGAGTTTTAAGCCACTGGGTCCAGGACTTGAACTGTGGTAGACTATGTGGGAGTCTAGCAATGTAACTGTTATGCCATCTATTGGTCCCAAATTAGTCCTTTTTTTTTTTTTTTTTGAGAGGTTTTCACTATTGGGCGTGTGTGCTCGCCATAAAGACAGAGAGAGAGAGACAGAAACTGAGAAATCACCCCCCGGGGGGATGGCCAAGTCGCAATCCCTTCTCCTCCATTCTCCTCTTGGGATCTTGGGCACACATGCACACGCGCCCGGCGTGAGTTTAAGCCACCGGGACTTGAACCGTGGTCGACTACATGGGAGTCCAGCGACATAGCCATTACGCTAACTGCTGGTCCCCCAAATTAGTCTTTTTAAAAGTCTGTTGATTTATTCTTTTCCATTAGAGAGAGAAAGAGAAGGTCCCTACACCATAATTCACTCTCTTCTGCCAGTCCTGATACCAGTCTCAGGTAGGTATCAGGATGTGAACCCACGACCTTTCCCATGTGGGTCCAGCTGAGCCACCACTGTATTACCACCTGGCTCTAGACTAGTCTAAACTGGCCACTTACTGAATGGAAGCTGAAGGTTAGAGGGGGCCGCAACATGCTCATGTTCACACAGTGATTTGACACAGAAAAGATCCCACCTTTGCAGACTCTCAGTCTAGTGGCCTTCACCAGGCTGTTCTTGGGGGGCACTTCCTCCATTCTGCTTGCTATGGTGGTTAGATGGCTGTTTTGTTTTGTTTTGTTTTGTTTTGTTTTGTTTTTTGAAAGGCTTTTTGCTATAGGGTGTGTGCACTTGCCAAAAAGACTGAGAGAGACAGAGGGACAGAAAGCGAGAAATCACTCCCTACGGGGTATAGCCATGCCGCAATCCCTTCTCCTCCATTTTCCTCTCGGGATCTTGGGCATGCATGCACACATGCCCAGCATGAGTTTAAGCCACTGGGTCCGGGACTCAAACCAGGGTCTACTACATGGAAGTCCAGGGACATAGCCATTATGCCAACTGCTGGTCCCGGTTAGATGGCTGTTTAATCTCCTCTCTTTGACTGGAATCATCAGGTCAGGGAACACTTATCATTTATCTTTGCCCATTCACTCAGAGCCTAGCATATAGCAAGTAAGTATAAATCTGTGCTCTAAAAGAAAGATGAATAGGCGAAGTGAGCCAGGTCTAAGTGTGTGCATCTTACTGGAAGTGGCTGAATTCTGTTAGGTGCAGTCATCAATTAGAAATTTTATGGGGACCAGCAGATGGTGTAATGGCTATTTATGTCACTGGGCTCCCATGTAGTTGATCACGATTTGAATCCTGGACCTGGTGGCTTGAAACTCATGCTGGGTGCATGTGTATGTGTGCCCAAAATCCCTAGAGGAGAATGGAAGAGAAGGGATTACGGCATGGCCATCCTCCTGTGAGATGATTTTTTGCTTTCTATCCCTCTATCTCTTATCTCTCCAGTAAGTGCACATGCCTTTAGCAAAAATCTTTCTCTCTCTCTCTCTCTCTCAAAAAAAAAGACATTTTATATATTTTTTGGTCAACAATAACAATGTGATTTAAATTCCTCAAATTTAATGATAATAGGCATTAGGAACAATCTCAGGAAATGTGATGTTTCTAGAAAGAATGTGAGTTGGAAAGAAATAATGTTTACTTTGTTTTCATGGAGACTAGCTGACCTTCCAAGTTGTTGCTAGGAGTTTTGCTGGAATTTTTTTTATTAGTCCCTTCATTATCAAGTTCATACCTACATTTGTCTGTATGTGCTCACAGCTGTAATAAATAATTCCTAAATCTCAGGGGATTAGTTAAACAAAAGTTTATTTCTTGCTTAGGTCACAGTCCAATGGGTCAGCTGGGGAATGAGGGTATGTGTGTCCGGTAGATCTGGTCCACAAACTCATTCAGAAACCAAGGCTGCTTCTATTTTGCGATGCCATCATTTTTGGCACAAGTCCTCCAAGCCTGCTGAGAGAGGGGAAAGGCAGAGGATTTGGAGATTTTTATGAATTGGTTCTGGAAAGGATGTAAATTTCTTTGACTCACATTCCATGGCAAACATCAAGTCATTTGGTTCCAACCTAATGGCTAAAGGATGGAAAATAGACCATCAAAGAAGTGACCACATCATTTCTTTGCCATCATATTTGCTAGATACTGGGTGAGGCTTGGAGGGTGGCCATGGAAATGACCCTGAAAGATTCATAACTTAAAGAGGGACTCAAAAAAATAATGAAAATTGCAACATGATAGAATGAATGGAACTCGGTAGCAGCATAATTAGAGACCTCAATGTTCCCATGTTGTCCATTGATGAGTATGCAATGTCTTTTTTTTTTTTTGAGAGGTTTTTGCTATAGGGCGCGTGCACTCGCCAGACAGACAGAGAGAGACATAGAGAGAGAAAGCGAGAAATCACCCCCCAGGGGGGTCGGTCACGCTGCAATCCCTTCTCCTCCACACTCTCAAGATCTTGGGCACACACGCGCATGCGCCCGGCATGAGTTTTAAGCCACCGGGTTCGGGATGCGAACTGCCGTCGACTATGTGGGAGTCCAGCGACATAGCCATTATGCTAACTGCTGGTCCCAGTATGCAATGTCTTTTTAAAAAATATTTTAAATGTTTTTCAAAGCAACACATACACATGGATTTTAAAAATCTAGAAAGAAGGGGTCAGCAAGTGGTGGCGCTGTACTCTTACATGGTCAACTGTGGTTTAAAATATGCTGTGTGTGTGTGTGTGTGTGTGTGTGTGCGCGCGCATGCGTGCATGTGCCCAAAAATCCTGAGAGGGGAATGGAGGAGAAGAGATTGCTGTGTGCCATTCCCCCTTGGGGGATTATTTCTCATTTTCTCTCTCTCTGTCTCTCCAGCAAGCACACACACCCTATAGAGAAAAAAAAAAATCTTTCTTAAAAAAAAAATCTAGAAAGGGTAAGCAGGATCTAAACTTTCTGAGTTCTTACTTGTCTAATGAAGTCCTTTATGATCCTTCACACCTCACTGAGAGCAGGGTAGAGAATTCGACATTGAGAATATGAGAATATGTTTTATTTGTAAAGATCTAGTGTTGCCTGTCTCCAGAAGATTTTAGGGGTTATTTATTTATGTATTTAACCATAGAGAGTGCACGTGTGTATATGAGAGCAAGTTGCCCTTGGTAGGGTGTCATTATGCTGCCATCCCCTTTCCCCAGCCTTAAGCTCCTCAGGATCCTTGGTACTCATGCATGCACTTGGCATATTTTGAAGCTCACCTAAAGATTCAAGCCTGCAGTACCATGCTGTTTTGATTACCACAGCTTTTTAGTA